TGGATAATTTGAAATACTGCAAAATGTGACATTTGTGTTTTGGAAGTAAACTGCCATTTTTTAGTTTTATTTTTAATTTGAAATCAGGCTAAGCTAATTTCAGAGCACCTTGTGTAGACCAACCTTTATTTATTGCCTTTTCTTAGTTGAACGATGACTATCACTAGTGTGGCATGCTATTTTCCTTTATGCAGCTAGAAAAGGTACAAAGAGAAGCACTTAGGCTAAAATGCTTTTGGCCACCAGTTGATTTGACAAAATATCCAAGTTACTGTTGGGCATCTGGGTTGGATTTTGAGAACAATCATCACTGGCTTAACTCTGCTTCCTTTGAAGTTAATGGGCATGCCAGCTGATCACCATCATAAAATCCCATGAGCAAAAGCTTCATCCTTGGCTCATTCTGTGGTGTGTGATGTTTCCATTTGCTTTAAAAGCAGAACTGGATGGAGGATTTTTTTTGCTGCTTTTTGTTTTCCTGGTACAATAAGAAACATCCTGGGAGAGGACTGAGTGAACAATAGAAAGATAATCTGGCACTGTGTTGTTAAAAATCCTGAAGAGTTGAGGGAAATCTGCCAGGCTCCCTGTGTTTTCTTTGGAATGGGTTCAGTTCCCATATTCTTGGTTCTCTGAGAATCTGTTCTTTATCATACAACTACAGCTGCCTGGACGCTGCTCTGGCTCTTGTCTCTCTCTTCATTTTTGTATGTCAACAGCGTTAGTCCCAAGAGCGACTAGAAAGAAGGTGCCTAATGTCTTGGTCAATCCAGTCTTACCTGACTCCTGAAAACCTTTACCATCCAGTTTCCCTCTGTCTGTGTATCTGCTCACATGCCTGATATAAATTCTAAAAGATTAGCTCAACTGCCAGTCATGGTGCATCTCGGTGCACCAACAGTGCATCCAACGGTGGATTTTTGCTAATTGAGTCAATTGAGTTTAGTCTGAAGAGCTGACAAAACAATATAAAATGCTGAAGCAATAAGAATCAACAAGAGTATTGCTAGAGTGAGGGAAAGAATAGTATTTGCCTTTAAACCAGCTGATCAGTAAATTAAGTATAGTTCCGAAAGTATTCACACGTGATATTACAGAACAGTTGATTAAAAAAATGCAGGCATAGGTGTGGGTAGATCTGTAGGTACAATTTTGGCACACAGTTCTGTGTCTGAGGGGGGGTGAAAATCCTGAAAGTCATGGAAATCAGCAAAAGGACTGGCAGTCTTTATTGCTAGTGTCATTGATTCCTCTGCAAGGAGGATTTTATTCTGAGGGAAGTAGACATTGGGACTTCTGTTAGCTTTTCTTCCTTGCCTCTTCACTCTTCCTCCTCGTGCTTTCTCCCCTGCCTTGCTCTTTCTTATAGACACTGGCGTGGGATCGAGAGCTCGTGCCAGAAATGCTTCTCATTGCTTGCTTCTCCGGATCTAATTTTGACCTCTGACAAGCCTAGTGCTCATATCACACACTGACGTGCTGCCCAAGATCTGCTGTAATTGGAAGATGATATAAATTGCAGTCTTTGGTGTCATTTTAAAGCAAAATTTTCTTTTTCTTGTCCATCTAGGACAGTATTTTAGCAGAGTAATGCCGCTGTAATACACAGCCTGTTTGATCAGTGCCTTAGCCTTTCTGTACTTGACCCTGAGTTGGATGTAGCTGCAGAGAGAATGTGCTTTTGATATTGCTGAATGATAGTGAATGATCATCAAATATTTCATAAGTTACGGTGTAAAAAACAATAGTTGTGCAGATTGTTTTTTAATATAAATTGCAATAGTAAACCAAGCCTCCAAAAGGCCCTACTTCACCTGCCCAGTCCAGGTAATTGCCTAAAATAGCAGACATCCTGTTGGTAATTAAACTAAAAATATATTTGTATTTCAAAAAGTAAGAAATTCAGCTCATATTCTACCTCCTATTTTAAACTACTGTCACAGGCCAAATAGTATCTAATCTCAGGTTCGCTACTCCAGTGACAGCTAAGAGTTAATTCACATTTAGCTGTAAAGGCTTAGAAGTTCCTTTATAATTGTGGGGTGTATGTAAGTTTACAACTAAAATTTAATGCAGGCTTTTAGTTTATCTTTGTTCCTTTCTTTTTCTAGTCTGAAAAATATCCTCTAATTAGATTTAGTTTCACAACACTGCTATTAGTGCAAACTGTAGTGGTTATGTATTACAATACCTAACCATATATTAAAAGAACAAATACAAAACACAGCGAAACACAGCGAAACCCCTGTTGTGTTGTAAACACAATCAATTTCAGACTGTAAGAGCACAAAAACCCTCAAATTGATAAAAAAAAAATCTAATGACAGAGAATATTAGGCAATGTAAAGAACTAAATAGGAAAAGTAAAAGTCAATTCCATCCGTATAATGCTTATTTAAAAATGCCTGCAGATCTGCATGCTCAGCTTAAAAAAAAAACCTACCAGCCAAGTACAGAGAAAGCCTTACTGCTTGTGAATGCTAACCTTGTTTAAAGAAACTTGCTAAATGTTGAAACTGTTTCATGGTTGCCTAAGAAGCTACAGAATAACAGGAAAACAACTAATTGTTCACTCTTAAATTAGTCCCTATATAGTGAAATTAAATGCACTACTGGTATAGAAAATAAACCATATTGTTTTAGAAACAGTATAAACCCTCGTATATAAAAATATGCTCATATTTGGGTACGTTGCTTAGGTATCAAGAATATAACAATTCTCAGGTTTAAGCTTCTAACTGGTGTTTAAGTTGTCCATTGCATACTGCTGTAGGTTGTTTTTCCCTTGATAAAGTAAAATACTTTGAGATTTCTGGGTGAACAGTCGCTACTGTCATTTCAAAGTCCTTTAAAAGTAGTCTTCACGTAAGCAAAATATTGTTGGGAGCACACCAATACTATGAATTAATAATTCATTGAATTAATGAATTTTGCCCAAGACAAAAATATCATACTGTGTCTAATGAACCTGTATGCTGCCATTAGCATGCACAATTAAAAATGTTGTGACTGGGGTTTTGTGCCCTTGGATTACAAGCTTTTGGGGCCTCATTGTTCGGACAGTATTGTATGATAAAATCCAGTCCCATGTGTAGGGAACGAGAGAGCTGACACAAATGTATTTTTGTTTCATGTGAAGTTTCTGTGAGAAATGCAGCGTTCGCTGTCTTACCGACTGCTTCGATCCAAAGGGATCTTGGTGTCTTGCACGATTGCATTTGTCTTCAGAATTCTGCTTTTCATTGCTTAAGGTTGAAAACAGGATTTGCAATTTTATTCCAGTGGCTGCAGCCAGACTGGTCCATGTTCACCTGGACTGCAGCGGTTAACTCTAAGATAACTGAACATATTGGCATATGTTATTTTTTGAAATGGATACAATTTTAGTTAACAAGAAATTTTGTTCGTCACTGTTTTGGATTGGTTGGTTGGTTCTGCCAGTAATAAAAGTAGGTAAAACCTGTGTCTGGGAAGAAGGGCATGTATGATATTGCTGTTTGTTTGAAACCGCCCTCCAGCTCCTTGCTGAGTTAGAAGATTTTTCCCATGGACCACAGGTAGGCTGTTTTGAAAATCATCCCGAAGAAAAGTCTAAATCAATCCAGCTTCACCATCTTTACCAGGTGGGGATCTAATGCCCAGTTTAGATTGTGTTTCCCAGATAATGCAATGTTTTCATCAGAGCTGCTGTCATCATCCGGGAAAAGCAATTCCTGAACAGCTTTGTCATCGATGCTTTCTTTCATTGTTTTAATCCTTCAAAGGACCCTTGTGAAAGAGCTTTGACTCGGGATCCCTGAGCAAACAGCGATGGCTGTTTCGGGTGCTTAATTCATTAGCTGCTTAAGCAGGGTGCTGGGCTCTGAGCTGGGGTCCCCGCAGGCTGCCTTTCTGCTTACGCTGCAGTAGCTCCTGCAGGTGTGGCGGGAGCGAGGAGTTGTGCAGAGCAGTCTCCACCCAGTTGTCCAAAAGGGTTAGTCAACAGTTCATCCCCCTTTGGAGGGGTGATGTTCTTCAGCTATTTACAAGAGGTATGGCCTGCTTGAATATTTTAGTTGCTTTGACCACGTTCAGGCCTCAGATGTACATTGCTACTATCTCAAATTTAATTTCAAGAGGCTTCATTTTTAATAACTTTTAAACTTCTTTTTTTTTTTCCCAATCTTGACATTTTTTGGCACGCAGGAAGTGAGAACTGGGCTCCATGTCCATGGTGAGCTTCCCACAAGCACATTCCTGGAGCATTTGTGTTTAGAAAAGCCATGCAAGTCAGAGCAGGATGTAATAGATGCATCAATTTTTAGGATAAAATTCCATGTTCACCAAAACTTTCACCAAAGGTGATTATACAGCTTTGCATCGTTTATGCAGTGGTACATACTTCAGCTAAACAGACTAAATCCCTTTCTTTTTTTTATAAATTGCTTGATTAAGAAATGTTGCTTTTTACTTGTTCAGAGCCTCCGCCATAGCAAACGTACATAATTGTGGTGTTCTCTCATCAAGGAAAACTTCAAAATTTTTTCAGAAATTTGTTTTGAACTTGTTTTGAAAATGCAATTACAAGTGCGAATGGGGCTTTAGAGAAATTATTTTACCTTCTACTTCAGTACTCTCTTTATGGTTTTGCTTGTTCCACGCCTCCTAGCTAATATGTGGCCAGGCCAAAGGCTTTGTAACTTCATTAAGTAGCTGGGTATAGCTTTGAACTGACTGAATTGCATTCAGCAGTAAACACGCCACAGTAGAGAGAATGCTGTGTGCGTCTGCCTGTACTCTGGTGGGCTTCTGGTCTGTGCTTTCCCCCTTCCTCAGCCTGCGCTCGCTTGTGCTGAAATCCCTGAGGACTTCAATCCAGCTGCAATCCAGCTCTTCTGAAAGTCGGGTCCTGACCATGTAACATATCTCATGTAAATTATTTTGGTGGGTTTTAAACCAGAACTTTGTTTTCTGTCTAGCAGTAACTTAAATCCTGCTAACACAACCAAATAATCTTGTAGGTCCTCCACCAGGCCGGAGGTTGCGAGCATAGAGCTGGCAGATCAGGATGAGCGCCAGTGTTCGCAGAAAGCTGTTGTCCAGGCACGGTCGTCACAGCCCACACGTCTGACAAGCATCATCTTTGCTGAAGATATAAGTAAGTTTTGACTTCTGTAAGCACACCACTACTTGTTTATGGGCATCCTGGCATCCTCTAGAACCAATGTAGAGATTTAAAAGTGCACAAGCCAAGAAATTTCTATTCATATGCATAGTCATTTTAGACTTTCCATGGGCATAGCTTTTAAGTTCTGTTTGTTAAAGTCCTCAAATAAGTGCTAATTATATGATGATACATCCAGGAAAATGAGTAATTCTTTAAAAAGAAAAAGGTGGGGGGAGCAGTGGGTGAAAATAATTTTCAACATAAACTTTTTATATAATGCAAATTCAGATGTTTTACATTTAGAAAGCTGGAAATTGTCTTTATGTCTGTCATACAATTTACCTGGTTAGTTTTTGTAATGACAGGTAGACAAAACCAGATGGTCGATAAATGTCTTGCAGTCAATAAATGAAGAAGTGTATAGGGGTTTATCGTCTGTGGGTAAAAGTCATTAAATTCTTTAGGACATGAGCCATGTCTGACAGTTGCACTGTAGAAACTTCTAATATATAGTCAGAGAAAATGTCCGTAAATGTTAATGTAGATGGAAATCACAATTTTTTAAGATTTATTCTAAAACTCAGTCAGGAAGGGAACTGCTTTTCTTGCTTGCTTAGCCACCAATCACCATTTGACCAAGAGTTTCTTAGTCAAGGTCATGACCTAGTTTCAGTTCCTTTAGTGCCTTGTGTCATTGGCTAAATTTGAGGATTGTTTTGTCTTGTTGGTGCTCTTGATGACCGTGTGCAGTGTTGCTGATTTCTTGTGCCCTTTCTGATGTCTCTTCAAGTGACTGGACAAGTGCTTCGTTGTGATGCTATAGTTGATACAATTCACGGCATCCAAATTGTGTCCACAACAAGAGAACTCTATCTTGAAGATTCGCCACTGGAGCTAAAAATTCAGGCTTTGGATTCTGAAGGTAGGAGATTTACTGATAGGAGATAAAACATACATTGAAACTCTTAGTTGTCTCATACATGCACTGGTTTTATTTGTGACACAATTGAATGTTAAAAGCCGAGCTGAGTAATTTAAAGGGAATTCTCTGGATAATATGTTCAGTAACCTATTGTTTTTGTTTAAATTTAAAATCTACATACAACCTGAATAGGAAAATCAAATACTATTTGATTTTCAACAACTTTTGCTTGCCTTTTTTCCTTATTTTCCTGGGAAACCTAACTCTAGTGCTGAGGGTATTTTTAAAAATCAGAGTTTAAAATAATTAAATTAAAGGTATCAGCTCTCGGCAATTCTACCTGCAGGTCAGGAGTAACAATGTAATGGAAAAAGTCCCAACACTTGGCCTGTTGAAGTATCCCAGCAGGATTTAACTAGGCTGAGCAATACTGCACAGCAATGTGAAGTAGTCTGGGTTGGGGTGTTTTTTTTTTCTTTTGAGCTGAGACAGTCTAACAAATTTTGCAAAAGAACATTTTATCTGAGTCTAATCAAGCATCCAACAGGATGTTCAGAGATGATGTTGAACCACCTATGCTTGGATTGATATCTCTTAGGTAGAAACACTCGCTTTTGGGAGGTACCATTTAGGCTCATAAAAATGCATTTGGGCTGAATGTCTATAATTATTTAATTGGAGCAGAGAACTTCTGCTTTTCATACTGCCTGTAGCATCAGAAAAAGGATCATGATGCTGGTAAGAGTTTTGTGCTTTGGTTTCAACAATCGATTTTTATGCACATGTCAACACTCACACAGACCAAGTGATTTTTAGGACAACTACTGGGCTGAAAGGAATTGATATGTCAAGCGGCTATTAAAGTTTGAATTGTTTGGTTTGGGTAGTTAATAAGCCTGTCCTACATTTGTTTGTTTGTAAACCATGAATGCCAGGTTATGTATGGCAATATGTTAATAATGACAAGTAATTTCGTTTTCTTATGCTGTGTGTAATACCAGATTCTTGGCTTGGCATTTCTGCAAACTCTCAAGCATGCTCAATGGACAAATTTGCCTTGGAAGCCACCCAAGTTAGAGTCTGAACAGGAGCAGTGGTTCAAAACACACAAAGAACCTTTAATCTGCATGACTGAAACAAGATTTTGGTTAGAAGCTGTAGGACCAAACTTCCCAATCTAAGTTTAGGGGATCGGGATACACTCAACAGCTTTGAAAACCAGTTCCTTTTGACCCAAATAACCTTGGGATCCATCCCTGGGAGACCTTTAGACATATTGGACTCTTAGTTGTCTTTCTTGGCACACTTTAGGAAAAAAAAAAAAGATTCAAGAGCAGCGGCAAGTTTATTGAAGGACACAATTGTTCAGGAAAAGTCAGAGAATTGAATAAGGGACTTCTGAACACTTTTTTTTTTTAATATTCAGAAGGTGACAAAATCAATGTGAAGTAATTATCCAGTTCAATGAATATTGGGAAAAATCTGGTTAGGTTTGCCGAGAACTTGCACAAAGAACAGGTGTCGTGCCTGTTACTGCAGCCTGAGTGAGAGGGAGCGAGAGAAGGTGCTTTGTATCAGCCATTGTATGTATATAATGTTGCAGTGACGTAGCTTTTTCCCTGGTATGTAAAGCTGTTAAGTAGGCTCTAGGGATTTACCCAGTGCAACTTGTGTTGGGCTGATGGAGATTACTGCATTTTACATTGCCAGATTATTGCACCTGGTATGGGTCAGATTATTCTTTAATATTGATAATTCTACTCCTGTGAGTATTGCTATATCTTCACAAATAGTTTCCTTCCTTATTCTCTTCCATTTATATGTATTGTCCAGTTATTTTTTTCATAAGCTGTATTTTTTAATCAGTTACATTAATGCAGATTCATTTTTGTGCATGTTTTTAATAAGCCACTCAAAATATAAACTTGATCCTCAAATAGTACTTCTCAAAGATTACTAATGCAAGAGAGGAAGATGACCACGGAGATCTTTGGCCAAATTAAGTATAGAATGTAGAGGGTAAAAAAAAAGTCATATATTGTTTTCTTTTATCTGTTTATCTTTGCTCAAGTTATTTTCTTATGACTTAACTAGAGGTGAGTTAAATAAGAGAATTTTAGGATGTGAGTTTGCATTTCTTTGGCTACGAGTGTGCAAGGCACACTGGTTTCCTGCCCCAGCGAGGGAGCAGAGCACATCGAGGTGGCTCTCCTTGTTTACTGGGGTTTGCTCCAGCCTTGCCAGTGAGAGCCGCTTTTCTGCTGAAGCATCGCAGAGGAGCAGCTCTGGGCCGGTTTACAGCTGTGCAGCAGCGGCACAAGTCACTGCCTACATTGACATCTGAGGAGCCTGGGAGGGTAACGTTACAACTCCTGTGACAGCTGTGTGATCCTGCAGAGAGGGACAAAGGCATAATACAGTTCATGGCAAGCGCTATGTTACCCGTCTGCGTCCCTGGGTGCTGCCTCTGGTAGGCTTAACCTGCGGACAGCTGCTGCCCCCGTGCTGCGGAAACAGCTGATCCTGTCTTGGCCGAGTGAGACCCTGCATCGTCTGGGGAATGTCCATGATAGTTTGTCTCTGATAACCTGACATTGCTTTCGTGGTGAGGGATGCCAGGAAAGGACACCAGGACATCCAGGCCCAGTGATGGTTCAGAGGCTGCAAGGATGGGTCCTTTTGCTGCCAGTTGGCTGCAGCCAACTGTCTGTCCAGGCATAGCCTCTCCATAGTGCCGCCACGTGCGTTTCTCCACCGGCCGCCTGATTTTCAATTGGAGAAAAACAACAGAGTGCAATACGGCTGTGCAAAGCTAAAGCATGCATCATTAAAGAAAGTTAGACTTGAATGCATGTTAAGTAATCCAGTCTCAATCAATTTTAATTATATTGCCTTTTGTGCTCAGAGTGTTGTGGTTTAAATCCTATTTATGGGGGATTTGGAGCTATCTGCAGTAAGTCGTACAGAAATGGGAGAAACAACATAGGCTGCGCGTTGTGTTAACATGTCTTAAAATATTTTTGTGGCTTAAAAATGTCATAAACCTTTAAGCATAAGAATTCAACAATAAATTTGCTTTGATTCTTACTTTATTAATTTAGATATAAATGTCAAAGGGAGTAACACAAATGAAAATACATTTTAAAATATAGTAAATACTGGGATTTCAGTTCCATATTTATTTGTGCCAGTGGACACTGCAATTCAGAGCAAGACTCATCTTGAAGATTGTAAGATCTTTCATGTTACCAGCTCATTACACTTAAATGTAATCATGATAAATCTTTGGGTCTGGTCTGTTTATTCCTTTCTGTTCTTTTTGTTCCTTTTAATGTTTACAATTTCTCATGTTCTAGTTGTTCACAGTTCTTAGAAAGAAGGTGCTCAGTTTGAGTTCTTTGACTGAAGACTTATTCCTGTTACGGGTACATCACGGTTGTGCTCAAAACCAGAACAATCTATGTGGAAAGCACAGTTCATCGGTGCTGTGAACTCAAGTTACCCAAATGATATCTCAGATCCACATGTTTCAAAATGAAAGAATGTTTATCAGGGTTTTTTTTATGTCCTGCTACTATCCAGCAATAGTACGGGTTTTGTGGTGAAAGGGGAAGGGAGGAGGTGGGTGCCAAGGATATCTTAAGGGCTGACAAGTGGAGGATGGGTGGTGTCTCCTGCACCGATCTAGTTGACTGTGTGTAAAACATGAAGTGGCACATGGTGTTGCAAAATGTGAACAGAAAAGCCAATTAACAGAAACACCTTAAATTTGCTGAAGGCAATAAAGCAACGTAGACTGTGATTTTTAACTAAATGCAAATACTGCTTCTTTTAGGGATAAGATAGAGAAATTTCCTAGGGGAAAAGTCGTAGTTTGTCTTCCAGGAAGACTATATGCTTGTTATTTATTTTTGTTTTAATCCGATTGTTTGATTTTTAGGAAACACTTTCAGCACGTTGGCAGGGTTAGTCTTTGACTGGACAATAGTAAAAGACACAGAGTCTGATGGCTTCTCAGATTCCCACAATGCATTACGGTAAGTTCGTTTAAATTGTTTGCCAAAGTCTCATGTCCATTAAGTTTGATGCGTATAAATATTTCCTCACATCTAGACAGTTTACCGAACTGATGCCTAAAATGATGCTTATGGGTCAGTTGTTTCAGAGTGGTTTTTTTAAGGGCCTACTCAACAGCCTGAGCACTCTCATCGCTGTTTAACGTAGCCACTGATAGCGTTAATGAGCAGGCCAGGTAGCTCTAATGCAACAACTAGAAATAAATAGATGCACTTGTTGATCTTCCTGAAATATCTTGTGCAAAGGAGAGATTTATCAGTACGGCTGTTATCTCAGGATTTCAGCAGAGAGATTTAATTTTTAGTATTTTTTTCTTTTAAGGAAAAAAAGTCCTCTTCCATTTCATAAAGGAGCTCTCTGAACTTGAAGAGTTTCAGGTTTTGGTCAACACTTAGTTCTGGTATTGAAATAGCTTTCAAAGCGTCTAACCTTTAAATTGGAACGGACCAAGTGGCTGCTTGTAAGCTAGGCACAGTTCATAAGGCCAGGTGAAATAACGCAATGAAAGGGATTCAATGAAGGTATTCAATATATTGTCTTTCAGACAAAGCAATGAATGGAAAGCACTTGCTTGATTAAATAAGCCACGGTGCCACTGACTCAAAGAATAAATTAACTGGAATTTAGAGGTGCTGTGTTTTGTGGAAACTTATATCCAAAGGTCTTGAAAGTACTTTTCAACTCCCTAATGAGAGAAGTGGTTTTCGGCATTGATGTATAATAAGGAAATATTCCCTCTGTCTAATGGAGGTGGAGTTCTTGCCCAAAAGTCAGAAACCTCACCTGTGGCAGGGATAGGAATAGGATCCAGACTGTATGATTGATTTTTTTTTTTTTATTATTATTTTTTATTTTCTCCTATATTTGTCACCAGACCGTCTTTGGCCTCTGTTTTGGTGGTTTTGTTTGTTTGTTTGTTTGTTTTAATTTATTTTATTACACATTCACACTATGTAGTTTTGCAGTGATGACTTCATTGTTCTGTTCCTCAGTGGCTTCAAACAGAAATTTGAGTTTCCATGTTTATTAAACTAACAAGAATTGAAGGCTGCTGAGCAGTACCTTGTATGGGATATTTTTCTAGTTGGACTCCAAGAGTTTTGTCTTTGCACTGACATCAGCAGGTGTCAACACACCAGGATCCTGTTATCCAGCAGTGTTATGCTAGGATTCATCATATTATATGCCATGGTGAATCTTGACTTTGCTCAACGTGAATGTTGGTAGGAAAAAATACCTCTCTGATATACATGAATTTGACCAGACTGCAAACACATGAAACATGAGGTTTTCTCACAAAACAGTTTACAGACATTTCTTGAGTACGGCTTCAGTCAAAACTTCCCTAACATGTAGTAGGTTTGTAAGATGAGATTGAATCTATCATCTCATGCACTGGAGGCTTCAGTTACTTTAGATAACAGGTTCCAGCAAAATGTAGGTAGATCACGGGACACAAACTAATGTAGGAAACTATATCTTCCCTTCAAGAACCTGGCTTTATCTATATGAAGATTTTATGACTAGCATGTGGGGAAACCAGTTCTCTTAGAGAACAGAATGATTAACAGTTAACTTCCATCCTCAAACCTCTATTCCAAATATGTTGAAATGGGGTAAGGGTAGCAAACAAGACTCTTTGCTACTGGGTAAACACAAACTCCAATTTTGCAGTCTTAGAGAAACAAATGCGCGGTATTACGTGAGGAGAGCCTGTTAAGCTCATAATGCACTTGCAGCTGCAGGTATGAGTGTATGGCCCTTGTCTACAGCGCGCTACTTGACCCAAGTTCTAGTCCATGCGGAGCTTCTTGTTTCAGTATAAGTATTTGCTAGAGATGTGATTTTAACCAAACTAATATTGATATATGCTCACAGCTATAGTAACATAAAAATGTTCTAATGGTTTTACAGCCTTGCAAAATAAACAATAAACTGCCATAAATTTGTTCATATTTATAGCTGTTCTCAATATGGCTTTACTGATTTTACTGGGAAAGTGCACATAAAGCCAAAAATATCATGTACGTACAGAAGCTGGCAACCTTTAAAATGTGGTCCTCTTTCAATTTCTGTCTTGTCATTTACCCATTCATGACAAATTCCTTTCCTTTCTGTTGTCACATCATTGAAATTTCTAACAGTTACTACAAGTATTCCGCTTATAGATTATTTTTTTTCATTGTCATTTATTAAATGTATCCTAGCTTCTTCATATAGGTCAAAGTTATGCTGCGGTTTGTTAAGCTGTTGCTTTTATAAACATAAGCTTTGAGTCCTTCACATCAGTTGTTCCACAATAATCTAGAGAGTTTTTGCAGTCTACACCTACTATAAAGACTGGAGGGGTCATTATAGACAACATGTGCAGTCTTCCGATATCTCTTGAAAGCCCACAAACAAACTTCAAACAAACTTTTATCAGTCACAGAAATTAGCTGCAGATATCTTGAAGAATGAGTAAAATGTGGATATCTGGTCCCAGGCAGACATCTTAAATTTGCTTAAAAATGGAAAGAGCTGGGAGTAGATGCCGTTGTTGTTTCTCTGTGCGTTTACAAATATTGGTTAACAATTTTCTATTCCCGTTTTGGTTCACCTTTCAGTATACTCAAGTTCTTGGAATCCACTTATATTCCACCTTCCTATATATCGGAGATGGAAAAAGTTGCCAAGCAAGGAGATACCATTTTGGTGTCAGGAATGAAAACAGGGAGCTCTAAATTAAAAGCAAGAATACAGGAAAGCGTCTATAAGGTAAGAAACTTGCATTCATCTTTTTTTTTTTTTTTTTTAATCATTTAGTCTTATAGTCCTGTAAGTTTGCCCTGACATATTGTTCCTATTGTGGATATCAGTGCTGTGTCTCTGTCTTACTGGATTGACTCTGTAGCCCATATCACAAAAGATGAGAGTGCTGCTCTTGATCACCCTGAAAGGCTTGGAGTTCGGTGCAGTTACCTAACCCAGGGTGGTGCATGTGCCAGAGGTCATTTCTAAACTTAACTCTCTGACAGAAGGCCCTGCGGCAAAGCAATACTCTTCAAATACTTCCGTACAATTTTATTATTCCTGGTAGTCATTCATATTATATATATATATATATATAGAATCATGCTGGATAGGGCACTGGCCCTTTAGCTCTGTTTAAAAATAACCAACTAGAACACTTTAGGTCTTTTTTTCAATAAATAAATATCTAGAACAAGGATTGCTATATTGGATATACTTTTATATTCCCTGTTGTGCTTGAAATGAGTGTCACGAACACATTGTTAATATCTAATTCTACCTCATTAGATTCTGGTCTCCAAGGAAGGGCTTTGGGATCAGAATGTCAGTGCTACAAGAGTGTTAAACTGCAGTATTGGCCATCTTCCCAGCTGTGATGTAGATCCATGCTGTTGCCTTCTTTGTAACTTGTGGTGACTGAGTTTTTCATTTAACGCTGGTAACAGAGTTGGTTTTTTCTCCTCATAGAATTTACAAACATCTGAGAGAGTTTTTATGGGTTATCGCTTACAGGAATACTTGGCATTGTGCTAGTGTCAATTTACTGCTGCCCCTTAAAAAAATCTTCTATAAAATGGTGGGTTTTTTGTGAAGTTCATCTCGTATCTGCAGTCTGGTTTTGCAGATTTGTGTTACTACGCGTTGTGCTTAAAGTTTTTCCTTAAAGCAGAATTGCCTTGGGTTATCTAACCCATACCTGTAAAGTGTTCCATGAAAGTGTTATCTAAACGTATGTAATACGAGTAACATGGCACAAATAATAGTGCATGTTAAGAATTGTATTTTCGTTACAGTTCTACCTAATTGTACTGAATATAGTTACTCTACATGGTATCAGTCTGTCTTTTTTTTTTTTTTTCTTGAATGCTTGTAGCTTGGTTAGTTTTCTGTTTTCATTTTATATTTATTTATTTTTCTGAATTAGTTTTGAGCTGATACTGTAAGTGAAATTGAACTAATATTGTTGCGTTTGCAATTTTTTATGGCTTTCTGGTTAGTAGCTCCTTTAAATGTTTCACTGCTGCCAGATTGCACGTTTTCAGTGAACATCCCTCAAACTGTAATAGAATTTATAGAATTATCTGTTGTATTCCTAATTTAATAGACCAGTGAGTTTGATACAGATTCCTCAGTGAAGTTATAATGGATATGTTGCAGTGGTGCCATGTTTTACAGTAGGGAAAATAAATTTCTAGATGTCTGAATAGTCACTATGCATCTGTCTCAAACTTTTCTGTATTCTCCAGAAAACTGAACCATAATGATGCCCATACAGACTTGATTTTTTTTTTTCTTCAGCCTTGCACAGTATGCACAGAGCAGTTCTCTGTACCATTCATTGTCCCTTGTGAAAAAATTTGAGATAATAATAAAGAGCCAATTACAACAAGTAATATTTTTCACTTACAGATTATAAGTTATTGCTGCTTGGTCTGTTTCACACAAATGAGCTGCTTTAAATGTGGTTGCTTTTTCTTCTTTTCCCCTCGATCAATAGCATGTACAACCTGCCGAAGTCAGATTGCTTATTTTGGAAAACATCCTTTTAAATCCAGCATATGACATTTATCTTCTGGTAGGAACATCAATTCAGTACAGAGTTCAGAAAATAAGGCAAGGGAAGATTACAGGTTTGTCCTGTTTTGGTTTTCTTTTTTTTTAATTTGTGCTTTTTGTGGATTTTTAACTTCTGAGAATTTTTTAATTGTGCTTAAACTATTAATATTTAATACTGTTTTCCTATACCACATGATAACAACTGTTTAGTTTTTTCTGTCCCAAAAAAAATGTGTCTTTAAAGGATATACTCTTTCTGAAGAACATGAAGGTGAGGGTAACTTAGAATAGGACCTAATACTATCATTTTAGAAGTACTCATTTATTCCACATGGATTAAGAAACTGTGTCTGACTTCTTAGTTAAATCAAATTTAGATTAGTAATTTTTCTGTTAGAAAATGTTTTCTTGACAAATGGATTTACTCCATTTCTGCAAGTGTGTGTTAGCTGGCTTCTGCCCGTTTAAGTGTGGAAGTTTGTAATTGCATAAGTTGCTTACAAGGAGCCTGTGCTGGTAATGACTTGACTCTTTTCTTTTTCTTTTTCTTTTTGGAATAAAACTAAGGCTCACTACATCAGCTGGTAGTGCAGAATGGAGCGACAGAAATCATCAGTAACTCGTAGAAAGTAGTTTAACCACTTTTGAAGCTGGGAATGAGTTGGATGTTAGGTATAAACGGTGGGATGATATTAGTTGGAAATTGCAGCTTCAAAGATGTTAAAGCGAAGCGAGAAGCTCATTTTGTCTGTGTGTGTTCGTATAATCACAGAAGTGCTATTTCTACAAGACATTAAAAATACTGATTTAATGTGTGCACTAGGCATCAATAAAAATTAATCAGCAATAATTAGCAGCATCCAAACACTGACACACTTGCTTTTATTGTTTTGTATGTTGTCTTGTTTTATGTACAGAATTAACGATGCCGTCTGATCAGTATGAACTGCAGCTACAGAACAACGTGCTTGATCCAGAGGGAGAACCGTCATGGCCAGTTGCCAAGTTGGACCAGGCAACATCAGTTGTAACTGCATTGCAGCAGGGACAAACTAACCTCGTACTTGGGCACAAGAGTATCCTTCCTAGGTGATGCTTTTCCATCCAGGTCTTTATGGCAGGAGACAAACTTTGCACCCAAAATGATAAAATTATCCACATTTGTACCAGTAGGCTTGAAAATTAGGAGCACCTGGTGAAGCCATAGAAAGCAGCACTGCTGTGAATTTGGTCTCAACAGAGCTGCCTGATGCCTTGAAATGGTCTAAGAAATTGAGTTGGCAAAAGATGAATTAAATCATGTCTGTTCCCCTCAGTCAATGTGAAAATGTGATGGGGCTTTATTTAATTTTTATGTTTAGATACCACTACCCATTGTAGTCTCAAGTGGAATCTCTCTGAAATGCTCACTGTCTTTCAGGGTAGTGGGGGTAACATTTCTTTTCAGTTTACAGTTAGCTTTAAATATCCAAAAAGGCACAAAGAGCCCTAGGAACAAGCTGATCTTTACTTGACTTTTGTCAAAATTTTTCTGTTCCTTTACTGAGACTTCAGGTATTCGCATGCAAGGGGTTTCCAGACTACCAAACAGCACTATCTACGTTGTAAATCCAGGGTATTTAGGTTGGTACTGGCTGTAGTTCTCCTGATTGCTTAATACTATTTCTTGCCTTGGTTTTGTGTTGGTGTTTTTCTGTGTTTATATACACGCTTCCATTTCTCGTATTACTTTCCATAGAAAAGTAGTTTTATTCTTAAAAGGAGCTCAATGTGAAATAGGTTTAGTAGTAAATATTTTTTTTTTTTCATCTCTGTATTCAGCAGCTTAAAACAATGAATGTGCATCTTCAGAGTGTGGGCACCAAAAGCAAAATGCTTAATTAGGTAAAGATGCTGTTGGTTTGCGCTGTTCAATATTTCCTGTTTTGTAGGATTTACGGTTCATCCAGGTGACAGATGGGTCCTAGAAACAGGCAGACTTTATGAAATTACAATTGAAGTGTATGATAAATCAAGCAATAAGGTGTATTTATCTGATGTAAGTTGAAATGTTGATATTCTTCTGAGTGTCTGTCTCCTAAATCCTGGCTTGCTTTGAAATGAGTTGAGCAGTTTCTTACTTACATTGAGTTAGGACATTTCAAAGTATGTTGTTTCTTGCCTTTTGCTTTTTTCCCCTTTGTTTTGCTGGGGGGGGTGTTTGTTTGTTGGTTTTGTTTTGTTTTGTTTTTTTTTAAATAAAGCACTCTGGGTGATTCATGTGAAAGTGTCCATGAGAATCTAAGTGCTGTAGAAAAAGCAGGAAGAAGTTGGACAATGCACTTCAACCATGAAGCATAGTCATTGCACTGGAAATTGCAAACCAGTGTAACCGCTGGAGAGCAGTACTAACACAGTACTCCATGTGATCAATGCCCCCCAAATATAATACTGTCACGTCTAGAGGCAATCTTTCCTATTAAAGAATGGGGTGTAAGATAGGCTTATAACACTCTTGGGGAGCTGCTGGTTTCCTTTCCTTTTAGATGATTAGCTCGCACTAAAACACTTCACTGTTTGGTAGTTAAATAACATGAATTCTAGGTACCAAATACACGTAGCTTTCTTTTTTTTAAAAAAAACCACAAACCTGCAAAGTTTAAATCGTCCATTTGCAAGTGGAAAAAAGTTATTAAATTATTGCTTTTTAGAATATCAAATTTATGTGATAGTTATTTTATTTGCACTTACTTGCTTCCTGAGATAAAGATCTGAGTTTCAGCTAGATCTCAGAAATGTGTTATTGGGACGGTATATTTGCATGTTCTTCCCCTTTTTTCTTTAAGAATGACCAAATTAAGAAATTACTGTAAAATATTAATTATTTAGTGGTATAAATATGGGTACTTTTCATGTTAAATTACATGTAGTTGATAATTTAAAAAAGTAAATATTTTCTGTAGAGTTAATGATGTGTCTAAAAGATATAATCTTGTTGAAAGACTGAAGCTTTCATAGAGAAAAATTGTTACTCGGTTTCAGATAAATTTCCTTGGACTATGTTATTAAACAATTGTTTTCTCATTGATTTGTTGCTAATATGTGCGTGGCTGTCTCTACAATATTAATGTCAGTTACCTGTGGCAATATCTGTTTAATGTTCTGGTTTTAGAATATCAGAATTAATACAGAGCTGTCCAAAGAATATTTTGAGGTGCAGAAGTCCTCTCTGAATGGATCATATCATTATGTGAAAGCAATAAAGAAGGGTCAGACCATTATTGATGCTGCACTGACATCAGTAGTAGATCAGGTATGTTTTCGTAGTCACTCATCTGCTTTACTGGTAGGCCTAAAAATAATTTACTTGCGCAGTAGTGACCTAATAGTGACATAGTAAAGGAAACCTAAGAATTACATGAGTCTAAGCCATCTTTGTTTGAATACGTTAAGCACCAAATTCTGAAATCCTTACTTCAGGAACACTGTCAATTAAGTCAACAGAGGATTTGCTTAAATAAAGACGAGGATTTTGCTAGCAAGTGCATGGCAAACAGCTGTTAAAACTAGTGGTGCACAGCACTGATATTTTTTTTCATGGCAGATACTTATGTGGGCACATACCGTTTCCTTGTGCTGGTGCAAAGGTCCTCTCACATTCTCTGAGTGAATTTTACAGTTTATTGTGGTAGGATCATCAGTGTCATACCCTGGCCTTGTTCTGCATTCAGTTACATTTGGAAAGTTTTCTGTCGTTTGGTAAGTGATGTTACATGCTGGAATGAAAATCTGCCAAATGTATCAGCCTGCAAATTCCTTCAAATTAATATTCATTAACTTTCTGCTACTTGGGCAGGCTGCTGAATGTATGGCTAACTAGGGAACGTGGTGTGAAAGTGATTTGCTTTGGCTTGAAACTTGGAAAAATTCAACACTTCAACCCATTTGCTGTGAAATCGTTTCAGTGATTCCTTGAGTAGGATTTAGTAGGTCCTTGTATATGATAAGCCATGCTTATTCTCTGTGTCAGAGAGGTACTCTTGAGTGAAATAAGGCCTGCTTGAGAGCTGTTAAAGTTTTCTTCAGAATGCCAGTAAGAAACAGGATGTTGTGCCAGGGGGTTATGGCATTACAATTGCAGCAGAGTCGTAAAGGCCAGTATTTCGGGATGGGCTGAGTTTTGTCTTCATCTGCTGCAGAGTGGATTGAGCAAAGAGTAAATGCAGGTGTGGAGTTACCCAATTAGCTCTCCAGACAAGATCCCAAACCCCAGGCGTTACTGCTCTTTGCCTTTTAAATTAACGTGGGCACCTGTATCTCCATAGTAATGCTGCTCATTTAATGCAATAGCACACTTTGCTGTGATGACCTGACTATTTGCTCACAAGTAACACTGTTCATAAGCGACCCTAAATAGTTGCTTTCCTTTCTCTCTGAGATGTTTTCAACAACTTGCCTATGTATAAGGACTAAATATTAATTCTAGGAAGCACTGTGGTGCCGTTTTTAATACTGTGCTGTTGCTTTTTGTAGGATGGAGGCGTTCATACATTTCCAGTTCCAGTGCGAAACCAGCAAGATGTTGAAATATATGTTCCCATAGTTCTTTCACCCAGCATTTTGACATTTCCTTGGCAGCCAAAAGCAGGAGTCTACCAGTACACCATACAGGTATGCCAAAGTAGTATCTAAATGCAGGAAGTATTGCTCAAGCAGGCACAGCGAGGCCTGTAACCACTTATATAGAGTTGACTTTGGATACTTCAGGCACAGGGATAGCCAAAACTTTATTTGGAGGAATTTCGTTGGATGGTAGTTGCAGGAATTAATGTGTAGTTTAAAAAAAGCACACAAGAAACCAACAAACATAAAACCCCACCGACTTTTACCTCTTGTCTTTCATTCAGTTCCTCTCTCCCTCATGCACACACCACACACATCCTCACAGAGTGGTTTGGAATTACAGAAAACATCCTAGGTACCAAACTTCGTGTTAATGATTGGAGGCTGCCATTTGCTGTAAAGGGACGGAATCATGGGAGCATGAATCAGAGCGTGAAGTGACTGCAAAAAGGGCATGACAAGATTAATTATCAGTCTTTTGACATCAGTATCCTTCACTCACTGTGCATCTCATGCTTCTAATAAAAAGTTAAAGGGAGGCACGGGCCACGGTTTCATCTACAGTATGCCCTTCTAGTGGGACTTTTTTCTTACACTTCTTATGTGTGTCTTTGCTGCCATGCTACCAATCCTTCCATACACTTCATGAAGCAAATGGCTTGTCTTCCAGTATCCAGAGTATGGTCTAACTGGAGGAAAGAATGGTGTGCTTCCCCAGCCTGGACTCTTATCCAGTACAATGGTACCCAGATCCTTCACTTACATGTTTCGTGCACAGTTCCTACCTCTCCCTTTTGGCATGAAGCAGTGCCGATTTTGGATCTGTCTTGAAGTAAACAGTATACAAAGAGGGGCAGCGGGACACATGTTGTCCGAAGTAAACAAATCAATCTCATAGGCATAAAATTGCATTCTCTAGTGTAAATCTGAAGTTAAAGCCATTGAGTTCAGCGCTGTCAGCTGTACTTTCAACTTCTGTGGGATTAGAGTTTAGTTTGGTTCATGCTATACCCAACCACACCAGCAGAGTGTGGTAAAAATTCTTAGTACAAATATGTTTTTCTGTTTCCCCCCTCTTCTCTATTCTTGTCTCACCTTATCTTGCATATATCATCAAATATCTCACTAGAGAACATTCCTTTGTGTTACTCCAATAATTGCATCAGTATTCTTTCTTTACCGTGATTTTTTTTTATTAGAAACGTAAAAACTTTTTTCTCCCAACATTTAAATTACTTTGCATTAACTGAAACTGAGAACATTTTTCCCAATCTGCCCATTCCACAGTACTAGCGGTTGTTTACAATAGCACACAGCTTGACTGTTGTTCCTGCCTGCAGTGTTTGCTTCCTACTCGACAGTTTTTGAGTCAGGCTATTTTGAATTGGTGAATAGACTTTTTCTGAAAATAAGTTGAAAGGGATTTTTGGATCTAGCCAAATTCTGTTTATAGCTAAAGTAACTCCTTCCAGATGGTATCAGAATGACTTTTAGGTTTTACTTAGTCAGCTGTCTGGTTTTTTGTTGATTGCTTTGTTCATATTTGTGCTAATAAGATGGCTTCTGTTGCAAGTAAAAAAGGAAAAAAAAGATGTTTCCTTCCTTCCTTCCATGCATTAGAGAAGTAAAGTGCCATCTTTGTGAAGTTAAGTACATGGTTATTTTTTTTTTTCTAGTGAGGTCATCACTGTCACTCGTAACAGTTTGTGGAGTGGAGTTCAGCTAACGGGCTGTGGATAGCGATTCGACTGAAATAGGAGCTGGTTTATCTTTTGTCTCCTCAGTGCAAACTGAGTGCTAGAGAGAAAAATGTAGTAATGCATCTGGTTTGTATGGCAAGGAGATGTGACTCCATAGAATTATTAAGATTTCTAGTTTGTTTTCTGCTCATTTCCCTATTGAAATTGAAAATATCTTTAGAAAACATTCTGAACTTTTAAATTCTTTAAATGTTTCTCACCACATCCCACATATCTCTTTCTGTCACACACTATTACCTGTTTATCCATTTGTCTTTGTCCAGTGCTCTTTCTGTAGTCTGCTTGTTGACATGCTCATGGGAAGGAAAAAGGGAAATGACTGTCCTTTTGATTCTTTTTTTTTCTGCTAAAAGTTATTAGCTAGGCTGCTGCATAATTTAGATTTGTTTATTTTCCCCACTGTCCTTCTAGACAAGATTTATTATCTTGTCCATTTTTAATTTAATTGTGAAACGGGTTAGAGCAAATGCTGAGGAAGTCAAAGAAATGAAAGCAATGCACATAAACAAAAAATTGCTCTGATGTTCACCCTTGTTTTACTGTGATGGAACTGTGAATTTTATTTTGGAGTGTGAAAGTCTTTTTTTTTTTTTTTCTTTAAATTGCTTTAAAAAAAGCGTTATGTTCAGTATACCTTTCTGCATAGTATTTTTCTCAACAGACACTGCCTATAGCTCACAGTAATGGTATAAAACCTGTACATTTTACAGCATTGTGATGGTTATGTTTCTTCAGTAACTAGTATTACACATCTAGGTGGACAACACTCTTGTGCTGGCAAAGTGATTTTTGGCCCTTCACTTCATAAAATATAAACCTGCAGCAGGGGTAACCCTGTCTGGCTGACAAGTGCTTGTACAGTGGGTATAATAATTTGTCTCTATTGATGTGGACCACAGTATCAAGTAACTAGTTCTTACCCTTTCTGTAGAGTAATTCCACTTGCATAAGCTCTTCTAATTGTGACATGACCCTTCAAGAGCTGGGAGCTCTAGGAAAAGGGTGGGGTTTTCTTTTTTGTTGGTTTGGAGTTTTTTATGGGAATCTGCATGATGAATCTGAATTTACAAGTTTGGCAGTTACTGACTCCTTCCTTGAAAAGCCATTGTGGGAGTGTAGCCTGTACGATTCACAGACCCTCGCAGTGCTTGTGGCAAGAGTGGGCAGTTTCCACGTGTGCCTATCGCTCATTCCGTGACCGATGAGTTGCCGGAGCGGCATGTTTGTTGAGTGGCTCCAGGTAGACGTGCTGATTTTCAGCATAAAAATAAAGAAGTAATGCTAAGAGGACCGTGACTTTTCTTTTTCTTTTTCCCCCTCTTGCCTTATTCCCTCCCTTCCTCCCACCTTTCCTTTAGATCCCTTAACAATTCCCCTTGGAAGAAGCTAGTAGGTATAGAGTGTCAAGTTAGCAGCTCTGAGACCCAAAACCAGCTCCTTGGCTGTCAGCAGCAGAGAAACAGTGGGATTTTTCAGAAGCACGATAATCCCACGTGCCAGGCCTCTGGTGTGTGATTTGTGAAATGCTCTGCTGACTCTAAGCACTATCAATCACTGGGATTTGTGAGCATCAGACTTCTGCAGCTGGGAAGGGGATATGTGGGATAGCAGCGCTGGTGAGCACATAAGCGATGTGCCTGAAGAAAACTGAAATTAAAATGGATGAAGGGTGGTAATCTTCTCATCTCTGACTTGACCTGGCTTGTGTGAAAGTCCTGAGGTGTTATTTTATTTGTGTTTTCTCAGTAATAGCATTGTCGTTGCTCAGCATGCCCCTGGGTTTCATGCAAGATACTTAAAGGCTTGCCAGCTAAGAAACGTGAGAACCATATACTCTGTAAAATATTTGAAAGATTTTCTCTCTCTGTTCTAGGCTCATGGTGGAAGTGGAAATTTCAGCTGGTCCTATTCTAACCAGGCAGTTGCTACGGTGACAGTCAAAGGAGTAATGACAACTGGAAGTGATATTGGCGTCAGTGTCATTCAGGCAATTGATGTTCAGAATCCATTGCATTATGGAGAAATGAAGGTAAAACTCTTATTTTCCCCGATCGGTCTTGAATGTGGCTTCAGGAAACAGTGAAGAAACTGAGAATGCCATAGGCACTCCCCTTGCCAAACTGCTCCCGAGAGATTTCCCTGCCTGCCCTGTGGCAGGTTAAGTGATCAGTGTCAGAGTTTGTGTTTCTGGGGATTCAAGCTCTCTCCTCTCCATTAACCTTAGTCCCATTTCTGCCCCTTCCTGGTTTCCTTGGCAAGTCTTTTTCCTTGTTGTAAGTTTTGAGTGCAAGAAGGAAATAGTAATTTACTACTGGCCTAGCCATGTCAGCAGACAAGCCAAACTAAAAATGCTTCTGTAGGGTAAGAGGTGGGTGTTTTCACTCCATATAAAAAGATAACAGATATCATCAAGATGTGCAAGGAAATTCCCTGCCAGAGAAGTGGCTGAAATGCTATATAGTGCCACAGAATGAATCTGGAGACCAAAGCTGGGCAAGAAAAAATAATCTTTTAGCCAAATGAGGAGAAAATGAGACTGAAAAATACACCTCCCAAGAGGGATTTTGTGGTCTCTGTGCAAATCATACCCTATTCTTAGGATTTGGTCAGGGTGATCAGTGTGTGATACAGAGTGAAGAAAATATAGGAACAAAATATTTAATGGCCCCACAGGAAAAAAAAAGTGTGCAAAGATCGGTGAAGAAGCTGCTCTGGTTGACACTGTAAATCTACAATCATAAGTATTTGTCTCTATAATATTACTGATTTGGAAATACCTCCTGGTGTCCTTTGGACACAAATGATTTTCCTTAATGAAACTGTGTCAGTGCTTACTCTCTCTGTCAAGCTCTTAAGAACTGCCAGACCTTAAGAACAGAATAAGATTAAGGATAGAATAAAAACTAAAAGTACTGCTGTGTTGTATATTCACTACTGTGAAGTAGTACTGCTCTTCTACCTTCACAAAATCAGGCATTTTAATATATGCTTTCCCTCTGTGCCTTTTGCAAAGAGCTAAGTGTTGGAATGGAGACCTGACAGAGAAGAGGAAATTTGCTCCCGATGTTGGAAAATCGAAGAGATAGTGTACTGAGCACGTGGGACTAATCTGTGGTCCAGAGGCTGTGTTTGTCTAACGGCACGGTGATAAATGAAATAGGTTTGTTTATGCCAAGCGGATACTATTGCGGCTGGCAAACAACCTCCATCTGGCGAAGGTTTATAAAGGTGACGGTCTTTGTTTCTGAGGGAGCGTAGAAGTTGATTTAGGAAGCACGTCTTGCAAGCCCTGGGGCAGTGCACCTTCCTTACAGGATATATGCCTGTAATTTAGCAACTGCTGGGGAATAAGCTGATTGCATCGGATATATGTACATTAGCTATACAAAATACCTCATAAATTTTAAGTATTCCCATGTGCAGCACTGCTGTAATTGTACTGCACTTCTGTTGCACCAGAGTAAGGCCCTGTTGATACGAATGTTAAAAAATGTGTTTAGACAAGACTGCTAAGTCTGTCCCATAATGAAGAGAGCTGTGTAAGCAGATATCTTTCCTCTCTTTATTTTTTTAATTTTTTTTTAGTATGTGTGTTTTGGGAAAGATCTTTGTAACCAGATTTTATTTGGAACAACTGCATCTACTAATGCTGGGGTTTTTGAGGGGCAGAATAGCTCAGGTTTTGTGCTCAGATTATTTATGTCAATTCTACAAAATGGATTTGAGAGAGGTACTAAACTTCATGCTTTAAATAATGACTTAAACATTTAAAATAATGACAGAAATAAAAATTTGTGCAGGATTTAGTTACAGACTTGCTCTGAAATTACTCTCTTGACAACCCAGGATGCTGCTTTTTAGCAGTGTGACAGTTAGCAACAGGAGAGTTACAGGAATGAAGATTTTAAGTTAAAACTTCTTATCCTCAAACATAAGTCAAAGCCCGAAGACAAAAAAATGCTTCTCTCCATGTGAGCTTTCAGAGCAGCGTATTGCACAATCTGAATAGGTTATTTTTGAATGCCTTTTTTCTTGTGTTAGGAATTGCATTCTTCGCAGAGTAACTCTGAAGAGTTCTATTTACTGACCTCGGTGAGCAAGTTTTAGGAATGGTTAAGGATGTTCCACAAGGATTGCAGTTTTAACTCTGTACCGTATGGTCCAATATTCTATCCTGAAGCCATTTGCAGATGGTTAGCAAGTTAAGATATTGCAAATGAAAAGCTTTCATCATAGTGATTGTTATGAAATGTGCAGTCAGACTGTGGTGGATTCTTTAACATTAATGGAAAAAGTCGCAAATCAGAATAACAAATTATACAGTTCAGGCTTGTTCATCAACATACCAGCTATAATAGCATGGAAGATCTATTGCTGGCAGTCTTATTTTTGAAAGTAATCCTTTTGATTTCAAAAGTGTTTCTCACATAAAGGTTACTTGTTGAAGCAGAAGGTTGTTAGATTAGTAGATATTTGTTCACTTATTTTAGATTTCTGACATACTACTGTGGAGAAACGTTGAGCCCTGGACACCTTTAAAAATATTTTTCCAACCAAAATGCAAGAAAGAAAAAAAGCCACTGGGGAAATGTTTGGGCCATTAGTTCCCTTAACTTCTACATACCTGCTGCTGTGAGCGATGGAGGCTGGGGAGCCTTGCTGACTATGTCAAATATTTACGCTGTGAAAGTCAAGGTTGGATACTAAATATGTCCCAGTCGGTGATAGTACCTCCTGGAGATATTGTACAACTTAGTCCACACTTTAAAATCAACAAAGCAGAAGAGAGAATTACAGAAGTAGCAGTAAAACGATCACCAAAATAATGTGAACTTGGACTGTTAGGGAAAAAGAGCACTAAAATAGTAGCAAGCTTTTCCTGGCCCTTTCTGATACCCTTCTGGCAGGTAAATACAAAAGCAATGTTGAATCCGAGAAAAATTGTTTCCAGCCATCAGAGGGATGTTATCAGCTAGGAGAAGTATATGAGAAGGCTAATTAAATAAGGAGATTGTATTGAAGTCTATTTTTCTTTTTTCTGGTACTGCTTTGTGGAGTTGTGTTCCTACGTCTCTGTCTCGTGTTTCTTTCCTCCTTCAGGTGTACGTAACTGAACCTAGTGGGATGGAGTTCATACCATGTCAAGTTGAAGCACGTGTTGGCCAAATATTGGAGCTGCCCCTGCGGATTAATGGCCTAACAAATGTTGAAACTGGCGAGACAGTCCCACTGAGTGACTGCTCACACTTTGATCTAGTTGTGGAAGTAGAAAACCGTGGTGTGTTCAGGCCACTTCAAGGTGATTTGACTCCCTCCCTGTTTTGAAAGCTAAATTAAGATGTTACTAAGTCACACATCTCCTTTAAATCGCTGTTTCAATTGCTGTGTACAGTATTGCCAGAGAGGTGCTTAACTTCAGAGGTAGGGGTCAGAGTAGTTTGATATTGAGGATGGGTTTTTTTTGTGCAGAACTTCCCTTTGATATTTTTGATGGTTTGAGGGACGCTGAATGCATTTTGGCAAGTATGTTATTGGGTAATGTGTAGTATTCTGTATGTCTTTTTATTGATTTAGGATTTTTAACATGCTTCTGTAACAAAGCTGATGGATATTCTCATAAGAGAGGTCCACATATATTGTGTTTTGAGGTAGCATTGGAAGACTTACAGGAACACTTAAGATTAGTAACTGCTTTGCATGAATTGTCCGGCAGTACTTTCAGTTCTATAAAGACACTGTTCATTGTTTGCTCACAAGGAACTAAGACAATTGGCTGCTTAAATTTTGCCAAAGCTCTGTCATTGTTAAGTTCATTGCTTTAAGAGGAGTCTCTTGTCAGGTTTATCAAGATTATGCATGTTATTGTCAAAGATTGCCATTAAAGTTGCTGGGCTAAGTGGACCTTGAGCCACATGCTTGTTCCTGTGTCTTCTGGAGTCAGTATGTTATTCAGATGGACCATTAATGTTTTCCACGTGTCTCTTGCATGGAGGCTCTTTCCTGTGCCAGTAAAACCAGTCTGCGTTGTACCATCTGTTTGCCTGAGAGGCAGCTATTTTAAATGTCACTATGTAGCATGCTGTTGTACTGTTTGTTTCAAAAAAAGAAAAAACAGACCCCTCCCAAGCCCCAAAATGCCCTCTAAGTAAGTAGAGAAATTTCATGAGGGTACCTTACCTTCAGCTAGAGAAATGATGTATTGCCCGCAGTTCAAGTTGCTGTCTAAGCAGTGTGACTTACTTGTGCTTAATTACAAGCCAGTTTCATTTTAGAACAGCAAGATGAAAATATTCAGTAAGAGACAGAAATTATATTAGTTTGTACCAGAGTAAAGACTCATGTTCTATTTAGGACAGTGTGAAAATAGAAGTTTGTGATACTTGATAAATTTGGATACTTTGGTAAGTGTTGGGTTTGAGATGAAAGACAATAGTGAACTTATTCACCCATTTGGTTGGAGAACACATCTCTACTTCCTTCTGGCAGAAATGCTTTTGTCAAGAAAAGCCGTGTTGAACATGCATTAAAATGCCTGGGCACTTCTCTCCAAATACGTATGTCTATATTTTTAATTTATCTGACAGGAAGGCTTAAGCCAACTGCTGATTTTTGTAGTGGAGTCAGAGTGAGAGCTGAAACTCAAGGATACACAACCCTGGTTGTTAGTTATACCCATGGTCATGTCCACCTCAGCGCTAGCATCACCATTGCTGCATATCTACCATTAAAAGTAAGTCTGTTTTCGTTGTTCCTAAGGCAAACCATCACTTAAAATGCCTTTACGTGACAAATAGCAAGTTGATATTATGTAATGAGTATGGTTAAAAACAATGAGGTGGGTGGTTGATCACAGGAATAAATTTTATGGACTGTTTGGGGGAATTCTCTGTGGAGCACACATGTAGTAGAGTTTGCCTACATGGACACTGCAAGCCAACTATGGAGGAGTGAGTAGTGCGATAGCAAACTAACAGGTTGTTGCAACTTCAGAAGTGGAAAGTGAATTTGACATCCTGGCACATTTTTCAGACTTCTGGCAAAAGAGTCGCAATTGCTGTCAGCTGAAGAAACCTGCAGGACAGTAATAGGAGTCAACCCTCATGCCAATGAGGACATATGTCTTGTTTTGCGCAGCACACCTGAATTAGGGAATTATGTTTCGGCAGAGCTAGATGGGTTGAAAATTAGGTGAGACTCAAATTGATTGATTCTTGATGGTCCATTTTACTTGATGAAAAACTGGCCGAATAAGGTAATAAGGGGGCAGTCATAATTCTGTGTCCGTAATGACAAATGAAAGTAGACCTAGAAAAATTTCTGCTTTCACAGTACATAGACTGATTTTTGCAAGAAGGCAACACTGACTTGCCTATATTGCAGTGAAAATGTATGCTTTTTCCATACAAATGGGAGAAACATATTTCACTGTTGGACAGTTCACTAAAGAAAACAGGAAGAAAGAACCCGAGTACGGGGTCAGTGTGTGGAAATATGAAACAGTACGTTACGCTTGTCTTCAGAGATCTAGCGCTGAATCTGATACATTTGACTGTAGCTTTATTCTCCAAATCTGGAACAAGGTTTGTGCAAATCGCACAAATCGCTGAATGTAATGATGATTTTAGTTTTTAAAGGTGCTTTTCTGTCAAAGACCTGAAATAGTTGAGTGTAATTCTGTGAAGATGCTGAGATATCCAGAGCACAGTGTGCAAACTTTTCTGATTTTGGCAGCCCATATGAGAGAGGGGCATAGTCCCTTTAATCAGGAATTTTTCATGTGTATGTAAGTGTAGAACAGTGACTTCCACATTCTTCCCCTTTCTGTAGAATGAAATGTTTATAATGTCCAGAAATGGAGGCATTTTTCTGTCAGATATCTATTTAAAAAATAAAAATTACAACATAAAAAGTGGAAGAAAGATAAACAGTAATCAAAAGGCAGGCAGTCACTCAAGACTAAATGTCACAGTTTCACAATGGGTTTTTACCTTTATATTACAAATGTAAACAGGGAGTGAATGGGAGGAAAGAGGAACATTTGTGCCAACGCTTTCCATGCCTTCTCGCTCTTCCTACCAAAACGCGCCTGTGGAAGGAATTGAACCATCCTTTATGTTAGCTGCTATTTCTTTCTTACTAAACTCCTGAGGAATACGATGTTGTGGAACACAAGCTAAAAATGGTTATTGTGTATTAAAATGTCAGGTTAATTTCTGTGATGATAAACCGTATGGGCTGTCGCAGTGATGTACATCGATGTAGAATTTATTTAGAGATTTGAAGTAAAACTTGGCATAGGTGAATAATTACATTCACAGAATTGTGCTGGAGGGAGCACTGTCAAGTGAAAGGATTTTTAAAGAGTAAAATTTCATTCACTTAAAGTACTATCTATTTTAAAACTGGAGTGGAATACTTGCTGTCTAAATGTGCTCAGAAGAGTATATTCAGGGTCTTTCTATTGCTGTAAGTCTTCATGAAAGAGATGTAATTAGAATGTAGTTAAAACTTCGAATCTGTGGGTTCCAGTGACTATAATCTGACTTGACAGAATTCTTGTCAGTGATGCTGATTATTTTGGTACAACTCTGTTCTTAATTAACCACTGTATGGGAAAAATCATAGCTTAATCAAAATAATGACTATAGCTCCTCTATTAAGAAGGAAGTTTCTTTTGCAAAGTACAACCAAACTATGTGTACGTAGAATCATTATTTGTAACTGTCATTCATTACAGACTATTGATCCTCCGTCTGTTGCTTTAGTGACTTTGGGTTCCTCTAAAGATATGTTATTTGAAGGAGGACCTAGACCGTGGGTACAAGAGCCTTCAAAGTTCTTCAGGAACATCACCGCTGAGGATGCAGAAAGCATTAGTATGTCTTTACTTGGACCTCCTACATCACGAAATAACATCCAGCATTGGGTTAGAGTATCTTGCAAAAGCCTGGGAGAGCAAGTAAGTGCCAGGAGGTATTTGCATTGTCCTCTGTCAAACACTGAGCTCAGGCATTGAGAACAGGCTTCAGACAGATTTATTATATCGTTTTATAAAAGAAGTATATTTTATAATAAGCCAGTAAAGAACTTGGGTAAGCACATAGTTCGTGCATTGTGATGCTGGCACAGGTTTTATAGAGAGCATTTCATAACGTTATGTTATAAAGTGGTTTATGATGGGTTTATTGCAGTATAAAGCCAAGTCATAGAAACCTTATGTTGTAGAATGTGTTAAACAGATCCTAATAAGTGCGGCTTCGGTTTGCATAAATAGGATTGTAGCAGAAGGTTACTGTAGTAAACTGATCTTCTGGCTGACCTGCTTCTCTTTACTAAGCTACCTTCCAGTGTGATTCTGTTTATTCAAACAAATGACAACCATATGAATTTGCTGCTCTGATATTTGTGCAGTTTTTGTGATAGTGGCTGTAGTTATTTTCCATATGGTCCTATTTTCCACAACAAGCAGAAGTGATTTATCCTGCTTTACTCACCCTGGCAAGTTTATAAAGCATTTACCTTTGATTTATTGTTTTTCTCCTGTAATTCTACAAGGCCTAAGCATTTTGGTGTGGCTGCCAAATTATTTAACTAATTTCCTCAGTGGACGCTCTACAAAGTGTAGCTGTTTCTGTAAGTGCAAATTCAGAAAGGAACAAACGTTGACTGTGCGTGTGTTGCTGTCTGTCCTCAGTGTTGTCCAGAACAGATCGCACCTGCATGGGTGGATAAGGCAGGAGACCAGAGCTGCCTCAGCCCGCTGGGATAGTCTTCTCTGTGTTTACATCCACTTTGTTTTGCTGAAGGCTAAAAAAGGAACGTAAAATAAAACATTAGATGTTTTTAAACACACTGAAGTAGCTACAAATATTGTTCTCTTCTCACCCTGCAAGAAAAGCACCTGCCTGTTAGCTTTTTAGGTTACAAAAGATTTGTCGTTTGACTCAAGTTTGATAGTAATAAACATGAATACCTAGGAAAAGTTGCCAGGAATAGTATTTTGATAATGCTATAGAACTGTTCTTGAAATGTGCACCTCCTTTTACATCTTCCCGTGTCTTAATGGTGCTGTAAATCCCCAAGAATCATATTTTTGCTTGTTCGTTCGGACATCAGAGGGTAACTGAGATGTGTGAAATAGAATACACCTGAACTTAGTCCTTTTCTCTCTCCTCACTTGCCTGTTTTCATAATTATACAGGTTATTGCCTTAACAGTTGGAAACAGCCCCACAATCACCAACCCTTTTCCAGCAGTTGAGCCTGCTGTTGTGAAGTTTATCTGTGCTGTCCCTTCGCGACTCACTTTGACTCCTGTTTATGGAAGTCCTCAGCTCGATCTCTCCTGCCCTTTGCTGCAACAAAACAAGCAAGTGGTAAGGAGTGAAAGGCAAAGAATGTGTTCTTATAACTTAAAAGCCAGTGTTTGGACCTCCACATACAAAATAAAGTGTCTGACTTGCTGCAACGGTAGCAGTAGCTCTAGTGCTGTGAGCCGCACTGGTGGTGTCTGCTTCTGCAGAGAGCAGTCTGTGACTTTTTTCCTACGGTGATCATTCAAACAGGTTTGTAAAGGGCCCTAGCAAAAAAATAGGAGTATATGTAAAAGCATTTGGATTGGGGCTTCTCACAGAAGTGTCACTGTGAGGAAGCCTTTCTGAGTTGTCTTGAGATAAACTTCTTTCTTTTATTAAAGAAACCCCAACGAAACCACAAAAAACAGAGGGGCAGAAATGTTCCCAGCAGCTGTTTCTAAGGAAAGTAATTTTTCCTGATACCACTTCATTCTAATCTAACTCTTCCATTGCGTATATAGAGACACACTTTACCATATTTGCACTATTACATGAGCGTACATTTGTGTGTGTCTTCTCAGTAAAGGCACAAACGGAAGGACTCACTGATGGGAAGATACCTATGTAAATATATACAGTGAGTATTGTTCAGTGACATCAGATGTATTCAGCTTTGCAAATCTGAGTCACAGTAACTGGACGATGCGTATGTGTAGATTATCAAGCGTCAAGAACTCCTTCTATTTCCTAATGAGTGCCATTGCGCGTTGTCTGCTGAGTAACCTGTGTGTATTGTCGTGTTCATATCGCCAGGCAAGTATAGAAGTCATCCTACTTTCATAGAACTGCAGAGTGTATTGAGTTGATGAATCATTTTAAGTAACTTCTATATAATAACAACATGAGAAGGAGATTTTTGCGTATTATAAGTCAGATTTCACCTGTTTTTTCTAGCTGTTATGTGACAGACTGTATCAGTACGCTGCTATCACTGATGCATTTCACAAGATGAACACTAGAAATTTGAGCTATGTCTTCTGACAAATAGCAGTATTTTTCGTTATTTGTTTGAATTCCAAAGATGACGTAGTTGAGCTGTGTGATTTGATTTTTGTTTTAAGGTAATTCACTGGCTAAAAAAAGCCCCACCTTCCCCCCCCTCCCCAAAGAAACCCTTGCAGTTGAAGTACAGCTTAATGACTTTGCATTGATGGCTCATTTTAATGAACATTACTCATGTAATGAATGTTATAATAAATCTCACAGAACTCGGCATACATTTTTTTCTTTTAATGATTAAAAAATCTTTTTACATCTGTTCAGTTCAAAGTATTCATTCTTTTTCAGGTTCCTGTTTCAAATTATCGCAATCCAGTATTGGATTTGGCTGCATATGACCAGCAGGGCAGTAAATTTGATAACTTCAGCTCTCTTAGTGTTACCTGGGAATCAACAAAAATGTCCTTAGCTAATATTGAGCCTGATATGCCAATGGAGCTGACTCTGAAAGAAGATGGAAGCGGCCAAAAGAAAATGCATGGTACGAATTAATTTAAATGAGTATTTCATTATTTGAAGAAGGTCGGGATTAAATCTATTTGGTAATGTCTGAGCTTGATTAAAGAAATTACTGTAATCTGCAGTCATATTTCAGTTCATACTTAACATACATTTTACGTGCACGCTATTTGAAAAAAAAAGCAAAACAAACCAAAAACAAAACAAAACCCAAAAGAACCACACCCAATGCCTGGAACCGGTCTTAAGAGAGAAAATCCTTGTGTGCTTAGAATGATAATGGGGGATATTAGCGGTATACATTTAATCTTTTTCTTCCCCATAATCGGCTTTATTTGACTTTTTGTTTGATCCTAGGCTTACAAACTGTTCTAGTTCATCATGAGTCTGGGACAACTGCCATCTCTGCAACTGCCACAGGATACCAACAATCCCATCTCAAGGCAGCTAAAGTCAAAATACCGGTACTCAGAACTCTGTTTTTTTTGTTGCCATTGTCCTGTGATGCTTAATGTATAGTGTTCCTATGTATTTATCTCCTCGGTGCATAGTAATGGAAAATGAGAGAGCTCCATAGTTGATTCTGAAGATGGATTCATACCACAATGTTTTGGTAATGTTCATGGCTTTTCCTGCTTTCCTCTGCACTACATGCCGCTATCCATATCAAATATATCCAATTCCTTTTCTTTTATTATTTTTTTTTAACCATCTGGGCATGGGGATGACAAAGGATTGTTTCAGTTGGTTTTCTTTCGAGTTAGATTATTTTTTTAATGAATTGGTGAATCTCTGCTGCTTGTCCTTCACTGAAGCAACCATGTGCTTCATGCAGCTGTCGCTGGGGAAAGCAAATGTATTATTTCCACTGCAAAACTGGGCAGAAAGGTTCTGCATGAGCAAAGCGAAAGCTGGCTGATATCCTCATATGGACCATGTGTAAAATCTGGGCTCTGACTAATAATCTTTTCTTTAATTTGGTCTCACATTGATTTTACGGAAGGGAGAGACTACTTGTTTGTACAGTGCCAGCCATAAGCCTGGGGTCTAATTTTACAAGTCATTAGCCACTCCCTGAAATACTTTAATGTATAGATACTCAACATAGGGAAGAACAACAGCAAAAAGTAGTGATTGTGAACAAAGAAGGTGAATGTAAACGGATGACAATTTTCTGTTTGCGTCACCTTTTTTTTTAACTGAAGAACTTGACTACAACTTAGTCAAAATTACTAGATTAGAGACACAGTTACGTTACCACCTAAGATATTTGGTTCTGTACTTGCATTTGGTTCTGTATCTTTTTTTCTTCCTAAGATAATTGAGTTGTAATAAGAACACGTGGTTTTCTGCAATCATTTTGCAATTCACTGTGCTCTTTTATTAAACCAATATTCAACAGTCTTTCTTACGTATAGATATAATTAGAAAAGTGAGTTCTCTAAACTTTACCTCGAGTTCAGAGAAGTTTATTGTATTTCAGTGTGGGATACACACACGTAAAATGGCACTAGAGTTCTCTTAAGTTCTAGTCTCTGTGTTTAAGTTTGGGAAGAATCTTTTTGATAGCTTAAGACTAGTTGTAGGTACCACTTCTGCTGCAGTCACATAGGCTTGTGTGTTGCTTACGTAATTTGTATGTATTAACTAATTTGTCTGCTTTTTTCAAATAGGTTAGAAATGGACTGCTATATTCTGCTTTCAAACCTGTACATACTTACACTTCTTTCTGACAGACAAAAAACACAAATAAAAATCTAATCGATGATATATTAAGATGTCTTGATCATTGTTCCATGTTTAAGTGGACCATCCTATTATGTCATTAGGGAGAGATGACATCCTTTCTACATAAGGAAATAATTCTACTAATTAGCTGAAATGGGTACATAATACTAACTTCCTCTAAAAAACATTTTTGCTTTCTAAGCTAATTTTATTATGAGTGAATGATTAAACTTGCATCTGGTCCAGTGTTTATGTACTTAGATTTAAGGAAGAATTTCTTTTGGTGGCCTGCTAGGAAGAATCCTAAAAAGATGAGCTTGAAGTAGAAAAAAAAACGTTCTGTCTTTATGCTTTATCTTGTTGTATGAACTTATAACACGTCTCTGAGTTGATATCCTATCTGTGTATGTCAGACCTGGTTAACTGGTGCTGCTACATCTTTAACGCACAGGCTTTTGTTCTTTGTCTGGGTGAGGGGTGCAGAATACACCAGCGTGTCCTGTATATGACCTTACCTGTAGAGGAGAGCTGGTAGCTGAGCCAATTACCAGCTCTTGTGGGCATCCTATTAACCTAAACTTCTCCAGCTCTGGCTCTTTGTTCATCTGCTTTAAGCATCCTTCCCTGCATGTACAAGAGACTTCCACTGTTGTCTGACTCTGCGTGTTCACTCTAACAGCTACAATTGTTTCTTTCAGTATGAACCTCTTCTACCAGTGTCTGCCACTATCGAACTGATACTAGTGGAAGATGTAAAAGTGAACCCTACTGATGTCTCCATTTACAATCACCCTGACGTACAGGTGAGGAATTATTCTGCTACTTTCTAACTGCAGGGAGGAAAATATCGAAAATGACATGGTATGTGTAAGGATACCAGTTTTAGCAATGTACTAGGAAGATGCAACCTGATTTTGGATGCTTTTGTGGTTTTGCAGGCAGAACTTGTCATCAGAGAAGGTTCTGGATATTTTTTCATTAATACCAGTGTTGCAAATGTTGTAAGAGTGGCTCATGAGGAAACTCAAGGTATTGCTTTGGTGAGTGAAGTATTTTATTATTTTATGTCTTTTTGGTGATCTGAATATTGTTCTGCAGTTTCATCACTATCGGTCGTTTTCCAGTCCAAGTGGATAGAGAGGCAGTAATTGAGCCTTGGATGTGTTTGCCTGTCTCAGTCAAGCTTCAGGCGGGGGATCTTTGCACTAGCAGTGTCAGGTATAGGAAATTGTTTCACCACAGTTGTGATGCATACGTGTATTCTGTAGAAGATAAAAGACAGTACCAAGTTGTTTTTTACCCATTAGAATTTTGCAGTAATGTGTTCCTGATTTCATAAACACAAAATGAAAAATAATGTGACAGAGTTATTCAGATGTATTATACAAAAGATTAATTGTTTTCTAGAATAACATTGGAATACTTGTTGTAGGCCAGTACTTCTAAAACCTTCAAATTCTTCTTCCAGTGCTATTTCAGGATATTTGCCATCATAGTATTTCATCCTGATTTTGTGAATGAATATCTATTAAGGAGTTGGTTTCTGATCTCCATATTAATTTTTTAATGCACTTTTCCACTAGAAGATGCAACTAAACTACAGTTATGCTTGACTTCATCTAGGCCCAGGATATGAGATACATTCTACAGTAAACAACAACAAAACTACATATTTGCATTGTAGCTTTCATTAGACAAGAACTGGAAGTGACACAAGTTGTTTTAAAGAGTAGCCTTTACAAAATTATGATGTACAAATTTATCTTGTAATAAATAATGTTGGATTTTTTTTTATTGTAGAAAATGTGGAAAGTATTGGTGAAACATTTTGATTGTCTGTAACTGTTTGAAGTGTAAGGTGGGAATATTTTTCCAGTCGAGTCAGCTAGGCACAGAGGTGGGGAAAAAATAGAAGAGATGAGCTTATTTTTGTACATGGTACACCGTTTCAACTCTTAATAGTTTTTCACTCACATCTCCCTCATGGGTTTAGCAGTGCTTTAACTGATGTACACAAGATAATTTCAGAATAGAGCAGTGAACCTAAGTAGTGTAACAGTGCCAGCAAGACAGGCTTTGTGAGTACAAAAAGAGGTTTATTTTAACTACCTGTCAGATTAAAAGAGAGAAAGCTTCACTGTTTAACACATTTAAAAAACATTTGGAAAAAAAAAAAACAACCAAAAACCTCCACATTTTAAAAGGTTGTAGTCCTGCGTGCTACATTTGAGTTAAATCCCAGCATTGCCTATGGATTTTTCTTTCTGTGGAAGCCAGCAGAATGGTCTGTGTAGAAAATCAGTGAGGCTGATGTGCCAGGCTGATGCCGTAGCAGGTATCAGTGGAGCCAGGTGGATATGGGATGGTTTGATAGTAAACTTCTAAGAATATAAATTCAAGTTATCTAGAGCAGTGATTCTCAAACTTTTTACTGGGGCAACCAAGTATAAATTCTAAACCTCTTACTCTCTTTGACGCAGCAGCTTTTCTGGGTGTGGGTGGTAGCATGGGTGAAGAACGAAGAGTGGTAAACAGTGGCATACACTGTGTGCTAGGGAGCCACTGGACACCTAATAGGAGATGAGAACAGAAGAGGTAGCTGGGAAAGGACCAGGCTTCGTAAGTTATAGTAGCCCCGCTTTCCCTGTCTTTTCTCTGGTCTCCCAGCGCAAACTGAGCTCCATCACGTCTTCCTCCCTGTGGCCGTGCTGGCTGCCTCCTCCTGGCCACATCCCCTTCTCTGCTTTCCATGGCTGTGTTAATCTATGCCCCCAGCACCTGTGTTAGCCACCCACTTTGGGAACTGCGGCTGTTCTGAAAGCTGACATTTATAAAACCTTTATATTCCTTTCCATTTTGAGACAAAAGTAAGAGTGGTGCCCTCAGAGAACAAAATGTCAGCTCTTCCCACTGCTCTTACTGCTGTCTCCTGTAGTTCTGCCAAGTAATGCTATGAATTATATTAAATTCCTTTGAACTGGGTGGCCTGGCTGTCCACCGCCCCGTGTTTCAGAGTTCATAAGCCAGATGAGCGCATAGACTAGAACACCGAACACTCATGCTGTCTCTGGCCAAAGTGAAGGTGTCTGTGTGAAGAGAATAGTTGGGATCATCCCTGAGGTGCGTGGCACGGTCAGGCCAATGGCAAGGGCACTGCAGAGATGATGTGAGTAAGGTGTGGATGCCCGGCCTTGAGAAAGGTGTGGAGACCACTTTGGGATTGGCACTTAGTTCTGAGGGCTTGTGTCTGTGAGCAGAGGTCTCTTCCTTCGTTGCTTGATTCTCACTGTGTTCTGAGAAGTGTGACATGTAAGTTCTTTGTATGAAAAATTAATAAAATAATAACAGTTGTATCAAAGAAATATCTGATTTGTTAATCGTCCTCTTCCTTGGGAAGATTCACCACCAGATTTTGGCTATTTATTCCAGTAAAAGCAATAACTGTAAAGTATGACTCTTGTAGGAAGCAATACCAATGCTTTATAAGCATAGTCTCTGTCCTTGTTTGGGGTTTTTTTGGCCTTATTTAGTTTTTCATTCCGCTAAGAAGAGTTTCGTTCCTCTGACGGGAACGTTTATTTGCTGTGGGTTTTTTGTCTGATGGCAGAAGAAGAAAAACAACATGATGCCAGACTGCTTCTAGATTAAGATGCGTTAATTCACTTGCTGCCCAGGGGCCGTTTGCACTAGCTCAATAGTACAATACTTCTTACATACATTTTACAGCTTTACTTTTACTTTGGTGGAAGAATTATCTGTGTCTGAGGTTTGGAGACTTCTGCATCCAACAGCGTCTGCCCTGAAAGTGATACAAATTTTATCCTATGAATGACAGACAAATGAAAACGAGAAGTGCTATAATAGAATTTTCTTTTGGCATTGCAGGTGCACCCTCTGCTTCCAGGATCAGTGACTGTAATGATTCACGACTTGTGTTTGGCTTTCCCTGCGCCAGCTAAAGCTGAAATTTATGTATCTGATATACAGGAAATGTACGTGCGAGTTGTTGACAAGGTTAGTGGCTTCGAAACCGGCATTATTAGCTGATCCAGGTTGCCCTGACTCCTTGTGCTGATTGTGGACGTGAAGATGAGACATGTACAAGATGATACAACGTAGTGAATAGGGCCCTCTGCTGCAGCTGGATCACCTTAGAGAAATAGTTTGATCTCCCTATGTTTTTGTTTCTCCCTCCCAAATTTATCCTTGTAGGTTATAAGTCTTTCAGCGTATCAAGCGTCTCTTACTCATCTTCTGTGTGGCAGCGATCTCAACTTTAGCATTTACACAGCAATGTTAATTCATAATTGATATGAAGACGCTAATTCACATTTCCTGTTGTTTAAATTGC